TCAGAAAATATTCACATAAATCACAACAATATTCAGTACAACAAAGCCGAAGCTGGGAGCATCACTCAAGGTGAGCTAGATACAAAATCACAACAAATCGAAACCAACCGTGAAATCAAAGCAGTTACACACACCTGAACCTTTAATTTCACCCAACAAAACCGACACTAAAAACACCTACACAAAACACTAAGAAAACCAGCAAAACATCAATACAAAAACAAACAAAGCTACCAACTAACAAACCGAATGAACAAAAAGACCTAACACCTGTTAACCTGCCCAAATTGCTCCCAATCTCTCATTGCAACTTTGATAACTATAGGTGCAGGTCTCCTCAAATTCTCAAACACCCACAAATTGCGAGATTTCCATAGCCACCATAAGATATAGGTAGTGAGCTGTATTCGGGCTTCAGAAACCTCTCTTTTATCCAGCTTGCAAATACTCAACCACCATGTTTGAAGGAATCATTGACATGAGGCCCCTCCCATCTAACAGGTGACAACTTCCATACTTGAAGAGCATACCTGCAATGAAAAATTAAATGGACAATGGACTCAGCTGCCTCTCCACACATTCTACAAATAGAATCCACATCAACTCCTTTCTCTCTCAGTTTTAAGTTGACAGGCAATGTGTCAACTTAAAAATTTATTGTTCTGTCTTATACATATATAGCCTTGTTTGACTAATAGTCCGATTCGGGCGTTTTGGTGGAGGAGACGGTGTATTTCGGCCCTCGGGTGTTGTTCATTGATGATACTGATTTTAAATGATGGATATGATGTGTTGGTGTCGAATCCGGTTAGTTGTTAGCTGTTTTAGAAATGTGCAGTACATGGATATGCAATTTAGTATTGAGATCATGTTCTGTACGACCGTCTGTCGATTCGTTGGCTCGTCTGGTGGGTTCGATGGTGTAGCTTTTCGAAAGCCAGGTAGGGCTTTTTGTCTATAGTTGTTTGTGTTATTTGTTCTTGTGTTTGTTTGTTTGTGTTGTTGCTTTGTTGATTTTGTGGTTAGATCTTTTAGGACCAATCGTCTATCGTCTTCTTAGTTCCGTTGGGTGCGGATAGTAGAATAATGGTGTAGTTTTGTTATGTGCGAATTTTATTCCATCTTGTGAGGATTTGTTTTGTTAGGTTGTAGTTTTTGTGTTTTTTGGTATGTGTGGTTTGACTCTTGAACTTAGAATTTTCCTGCTCAGTTTGGAGTAAGACATGTTCTACAACTTGTGTTAATGTTAGTTGATATCAAACTTTGTATTTTGTAATTTGACCGCGCGTCGTAACGCGGCAAAATTAATATTTATATTTTTTCTCAACTAACCCCTACTAACTAGTAGTAGTGGCGAGCAAGGGTCGATCCCACGAGGAGTGTGAATCAAATTGTGAATTTTTCGTATTAATTGAAATTATAAAAAGCGATAAATGGGGGGGTTTTGATTTAATAACTAAACTACCTAAAAATCTAATGAAATAAATAAAATCTAAACAAGAAAATAAAAATAAAAATAAATAAAATAAGAGAAAGCTTCTAGTTCACGGTTCCGTCTACACCCTTAACTGACTCGTCCAATCAATTTTGGTATCAAATCTCGCTATCTTATGAAATTACTAGCCCTAGGCAACGACACGGTCAGTTACCCGAATTTTTCCTTATTTTTAATTTATCCGCGAGACGCTCGACGATTAAACCTGACTTCTTGTACAGTCCGGAAAAACGTTTTCAAGATTTAATACAATTAGCCGCTTTACGAATTAGAAAAATAGGCTAGACTAATTAGTGAACTCAACCGCGTTCGTTCACTTAAATAGGCCGTGTTATCCCCGGTAGTTACCATCTTCCGGTTACCTCTTATGAATTAAACACAACAACAATTACGGATTGCAGGCCTAATTCAGATGTACATATGAAAAGCCTAATCTAGGTGATCAATCTAAACAAGACTAACACATCATGGTGAATTATTCAAAATAACACAAGCAATTCCAAAAAGATAACTCAATAATCAACCAAGAAAATCAATCAAGCATCATCAAGTCGTAGGGTTCGACTTCCCCGGAACTAGAAATAAAACCTAAGCTATCATAATAAATAAAAATAAATAATAGATAAAAGAGAGAGATTAATTATCTCCCTCGTGTGCGGGTGCGGTCTCCCTCCGCGATTCGTCGGGCTCTTCTCGTCTGTCCTCTGTCTGTGTGTATGTCTCTGTGGGGCTCTTTTCCCTCCGTTCTGCTGCGCGTGAAATCCTAATATGATGGCGGCTATTTTTTTAATTGCGTGGCCGCTCCAATAAATCCTCCTCCCAGTATGCTATTTTGGTGGCCCTCCAATTAATTAAAATAAGGGCATGCGTGTATCAATTCCTCTCCTAGGTGGCTTAGGTCTTACTCAATGAATTATTTGTTTCGTTGGGTCTTTTGTGTAGTCTTTTCTCAGCCCAATCTTTTCTTTATTTAACTCATGGGCCCATAATTTGAGCTTTATTTTCGCACATGGCACAAATTGGCCAAAAATTGAGCTGGTATGGGGTAGTGGCTCTGGCCGCAACAGAGTATGGGGCTCCCCCGTACTGTCTGCTTCAACATTCCTTCCATTGTTCCACGTTCATAAATACTCCAATATTCTGAAAATAAAGCATAAAAATATCAAAGCAAATAGATCCATCTAATAAATAAATAAGTCAAAAAATATAAATGTGCGAATAAATTAAATGTATAAAAATACATCACTAAATATATAAAACTTGCACATTTTTCGACCTATCATAATTAGTCTAGTTTTTTAGTTTAATAATATGCTATCATTACGGGGAAAAAAGACTTGTTTTACATAATTTAATAACGTCCATTTTTATTTGATTTATATTATAATTTAGGCCCTAAAACACAGTCCAACATTAGTGCCACAAGTAGAGGTGAGCAACAATGCGATTCGGTTAAAAATCGCATTGAACCGCAAAAACAGAACATAGCAAAAAAAAATTGAACCGCACCGCAACTTAAAGAAAAATTGAATTGATTTTGTTGAGACTAAAATAACTTAACTAAACTACGCCAAAATCATGGTTTTGCTCGGTTTTTTATTGTATCTTAATTATGCTATACATTTTGTTCAATTTTATGGGGTTCGATTGTATCTCGATTATTCTATACATTTTATTCAATTTTGTCTACATTCATGTTCAGCAGTATGTACCAGCAATTAAGCTAGATAATCTTCCATCTCACGAGATGAGGAGGTGGCAACACATATGAGAAAAGAGGAGAGAGTGCGCCTAATTGACTGGTGAAGACGCCAATGGGGCCCAGCCCGAGCCCGAGCTGGTCTGAAGACTTCATCTATCTCACCAACCTCGAATACCCCGTCATCATAAAAAAGAGGAGGATCTCACAGTAGGTCAACCTTCATCATAAAAAATAGGCGGACTATCATATTCAGTCGACCTCTTATCATCCAAGAACTCGGTGGCGGCCTATCCACGCAACTGCGTCGTGACCAAGGCAACGCGCCATTCGTCCGACACGTCTTTGTAGTCGAGGACGGTCTCAACCGTAGCCATCCAATCCAATAATTCCGACACATCTAAGTCGTCGGTGAACTTTGGAATATCAACGCGAAAAGACATCTCCCACGAACGCCCCTCGGCCAAAAAATCGTCATCTCGTGCCGGATGACCAAAAGGGTTAATCTCAGAGAGGGTATCATCGTCGTAACATTCTCTGACCCACGATGGAGGCGACCGGGTGTGGGGCGCCCTGGGTGTTCCCTGACTGCGACCCCCGTGCATCCCACCGTGCCACCCGCCACGGGTACGATTCGACCGATCGCCGTGAAAGGCGGTATTGCAAGCTAGGGTGAGGTCCTCGATCCTCGAGGTCAGATCCGCCATGTAACGGTTAGCCGTCTCGTATTGGTGCATCAGTGCGTCGATGGCGCCATCACGTCTCTGATCGGCATCGTTCCTCTTCAGAGGCATCGTGGATCATTCTGGTACCTGAATACCAACTGAAGTAGCGGAAACGTACGAAAAGGGAAACAAAAGATAAAATCTCAATACAAATACTTTTAATCCATAAACTTGACCAATTCTCCATAATGAATAAGAACCCCACAAATTTTAATTTATACTTATATTAAAAGGTATACCATTTACCAGATTTAGTATAAAAAAAAAGTCAACAACATTTATTGTATTACTATTTCCGTATTATACAATCTATATCTACACTTATATAAAAGGAGATTCTATTTACTACATTTATTATCCAGAAAAGTCAACTGCATTAAATGTCATTACTATTTTGGTATTATAATATTTTATTTAGTTAATTGATTTATTTATTTGTTTTATTTTAAAAAGGTAAGTATAATAAAAAGATTTTAATAATAGAAAAATCAAATACCAAATAAAAATATACACTTTGACTTATTTGATTATATTTGGTATTTGATTATACCAAATATATTCCTATTTAGTATATACATTAATACTTACTAAAGTATTTATTTGTTTTATTTGTCAAAGTTAAATATAGATTTGTTTATATTATCAAATCATAAAAGAAATATTAAATCCATATTGTAAAAAAAAAAAACATATAATTTTATAACAATTCTACTACACTATTTAACAATATTCCTTTTTTATTATATAATAAAATAATAAATAAATATTATATGGTGAACAACAATAAGTAAAACTGTTACTTTCTCTTATATCAAGGGATAAATTTATATGCTAAAATTAAATTTTTATTAGTATAAATGTTTTAGTGAGATAATATATTAATTATTTTACAAGCTAGCCCTAACATGCTCATATTTAATGTTTTAAAAGATGTAGAAAAAAAATTTATAATAACTCTATTGTTTTTTAGACTTAAACGTTGATTAAAAGAGGTAAAAATTCCTAATTTTTTAGACTTAAACGTTGATTAACACCATAGATTGAGAGTTTATATTTAGTAAAATTCCTAATTGTAATAAAAAAATAATTTTTGCTATATTTTAGAATATCTTTAAATTCATTATAAAAAAAAAAAGAAAAAAAACTACATTGAAAAAAGCAAATCAGTCATATATCGATTTGTTGTACTCCTCAAATCACATTCACAATTTGGCTACAAGGAAAGGAAACTCATTGATTAAAATATTATTTTGTCAGTAGTCTTAATGTACAAGAGACTTTAAGACTTCACTTGAATATTATAAAACTTTTATTGAACATTGTACAATTTTCTTGCGTATTATAAACTTTTATTGAATATTGCATCTTATAATATAATATTCTCCAAATAAATTTATCTCGTGCTTCGCACGGGTCACGTACTATATATATCCCGTACATTTTTCTTTATTCATGTATATAATTATAAACCTGGATAAATAGCCTTAAAATTGTGCACCACGTGCATCACACGGGCTCTGTACTAGTCTTGTCTAATAAGTAAAATAATTTTTTATAAACTAAATCTATTTTCTACATGTGATTTTTTTTTAAAGAGTCCCAAAAGCATTGTAGATACTCTAACTTAAGATTAATATTCAATTGGTTAATTTAACATCAACAGGCTAACATTCAAAATGAGGCTATAAAAGGTATAAAGGTCTCTAATGTGAAGGCTGACTAGTCGCATTATTTATTTTGAGAAATGTTGGCATGCCTAAGAGCATCTTCAATGCTCAACTTTCAACATTAATTAAATTTGAACACATGTCAATCAATGGATTAATGTTTAATCTACATGAATTGAACGTTAAAAGAATAGGACTTTCATTTGAATTGTTGCCTCCAATGCATCCATTCAACAACCATACAATTTGTATACGTGGATTTATTCAATTATTAATAAAATCAAAGAGTATATTAAAAAAAACCACAAATTCCAATAATTATATGCATGATGTTATTTTTTGTTGATTCAGTTAATTTTTATTTATATCATCAAATTTTATAAAATTATTATTTATTCAATAATTTCTCAGTTACAATATGTATAACCACACAATAAATATTTTTTTAATTGGTTTAAAATAAAACAACAAAATATTAAAATTGCAATAACTCAACAAACAAATATCATGAACATAATATTTTACTTTTAAGGACATTATTATTGATAAATTTTTTAAATTTTAGTTGTAACTCATCAAATAATTACACTGTATTCAAATAAATTCTTAAATGTTTTATTGGATAAATGTAAGGGTGAGATTTTTCCAAGTTTATGAAAAGCTCAAAATTTGTGTCAAATAGTTATCAAAATGATGAGTCATCATGTTAGAAATAATGTGAGAAATTAGAAAGTGAGCTTGACAATGTTAACATTAATTTTTTACACATAAGCATGAAAGGACCCATAATCTAATGCATTGAAGGATATTATTCACACACTTTCTATCTAGATTAGGTGGATAACTTTTTATCCTTTCAAAAGAATGCATTAGAGATGCTCTAATATCCACTTTTGACGACCAACTTGATTAAATAGTTTTTGAGTGTATTTATTTATTTTGTTTTTGGAGCACACGAAAATGCTATGTCATCATTCTAAACTAGTTTTGGCTCAGATCATAACGTAATACGATAACTAATCATTATTAGTCCCATTGAAATGACAATTATTCGGTTTGATGTTTTGATATTGTATGCATTGGCTAACTTGTTAATCACACAAATGTGACATTGATTGAATATTGAATCATCTCTTAAGTAATTTTACAAGTTATAACTCGATGTATCCTATGATAATGAGAAATCATGCAGTTTATTAAAAAACACTTCTCAAATGGTTTTAAATTGATTTATGTTTCGTCTCAAATTAAGAATAACATTATAAAAAAACTAAATTTTGAAAATGCTCATTCTATTCTAAATAAGTAAAAGATATGAATACTTTCAAAAAAGTTCATTTGCAGAATCCGATTAAGAAATAGAGAAAATGATTCTAAACAAGCACATAATATATTATTATAATAATAATAATAATAATAAATAAGCTATTAACATTAATCTAACAGCAAAAAAATGGGCCAATCCAATCCCTAGCCTCCAAAAGTTGCATTAGCTATGCATGCACAAGCACGCTAAATATGGCTCATTTAGATTTTAGACAGCAAATAAGCAGTAATTGATAAATCGAGGAAAAACAAAAAATGGGGAAAGCGATTCGATTTTTCGAGCTCAACAACGGCGCCAAAATCCCCTCCGTCGGGCTCGGCACGTGGAGGGCGGCTGACAACGTCGTCGGCGACGCCATCACCGCCGCGATTGAGGTGATTCTCGAATCTGGCATTTTTTTAGCTCGGAGATTTCTCGAAGGAAATGGCATTTTATTTATGCATCTTTTTAATTTTCGTTCTTCCAGTCTGTGTTTGAGTCCATTGATATGTTTGATCTAGTCGCGATTTTCGCAGATTTAGCTACAGCTACGAGTAATTTGTGATTAAATTGGCTATGGCGGTGAATTTTGAGTGATTGTATGTTTGTATTGTAAAATTTGTGTTTCAGGCTGGATATCGGCATATCGATTGCGCCCAAAGATATGGCAATGAGAAGGAGGTACAGTCTCTGCAAAAATTCCTAAAGTTTCATGGCTTAAAATTGAAAACTGAAAATCTCTCAGTGAGAGAGTTTGCCCTAGAAATGATTTTAGGGACAATGGAAAATTTGGGACTGTTTTCAATTAGATGGGTTAATTGCCGGAAAAATCACGACATTTGCACGCAAATGAGGCGCTTTGACAATTTGAGATTTGCAGATTGGTGTTGCCCTGAAGAAGTTGTTTGATGATGGGGTTGTGAAGCGTGAGGATCTATGGATCACTTCTAAGCTCTGGTTTGTAAAGCAATGTTAATAATCGAATTCCACACTTTAAATTTCGCTATAAGCTAGTAACTTATGGATTAAAATTGTGCAGGAATTCAGACCATGCTCCGGAAGATGTACCTCTGGCTTTAACCAGAACACTGAATGACTTGCAGCTCGACTATATCGATCTTTATCTAGTACGTGTGTGATACTCGAGTTTTCCTTTTCCCAGTTGGAATTCAAGATGTATTATTATAATTATTGTTTTAATTTACTCATTTTCATATTGTCAAGATGCACTGGCCGGTGAGCATGAGAAAAGGTTCTGTCACGTTCGAACCACAAAATCTGACTAAAGTGGATGTGCCGAGCACGTGGAAAGCAATGGAAGCACTTTGTGATGCTGGAAAAGCTCGGACTATAGGCGTGAGTAACTTCTCGTGCAAGAAATTAGCCAGTTTATTGGATACGGCACGTATACCTCCGGCCGTCAACCAAGTCGAGTGTCACCTTTCATGGCAACAGCCGAAGCTGCATGACTTCTGTAAATCCAAAGGAATCCATCTCTCGGTTAGTTTCGAACCAATTCTAACACATTAGACCGCCTGACAATAGACTCATATATGCTTACATATAAGCTAGCTTATAGCTTATTTGGTTAGCTTATAAGCTTCATATATATTTAAATGAGTTTCGTTTGGCAGGAGGAGCTTTTCTAAAAAGCTCGAGCTTATCTTGTAAATTTCTTTGGATAGCTTTTCAAATAAGCCCGTTGAAATTTTTATTTTAGCTAGCTTATTAGCTAAGTTTACCAAACACTGTTATCATATATGATAACTTTTCAGCTATAAGTCATAAGCTATAAGCTAAAAAATTACTGATAAGCTATAAGCTATAGCTAGCTTATCAGCTATCAGCTAGTTTTACTAAACATAGCTTAAGAGTTAAGATATACTCACAAGTCACTAGTTAATCCAGTTATTACCCTTTCCTTTTTTTATTACAGGGATATTCACCACTGGGCTCCTCTGGAAAAAGTGGCCTAAAGCATGAAGTGCTTAAAAACCCGACTGTGAATACGGTTGCCGATAAATTGGGAAAAACCCCAGCACAAGTTGCTCTGCGATGGGGACTGCAGTCGGGCCACAGTGTTCTCCCGAAGAGCACTAATGAGAAGAGGATTAAAGAGAATCTTGATGTGTTTGATTGGTCCATTCCCGAGGATGTGTGTGCCCATCTTTCTGAAATCGAGCAGGTAATTGATAAGAGTTTTAACCGTCAAATAACACACACACTTGATCGGACGGTTAAAATCCATGTAAGTGTACTTGACAATATTTTGCAAGGTGGGGCAATAGAATATTTAAAGAATCTTGATGAGACTTGTCAATTGTCGTGGTCCTGTGAAAAAAGCTTGTGATGAATGTTGCTTAGCTACACATACTAACAAAAAATTCCTCCTTTAGTGAGAAAACATAAACTTATGATTATAAGATTATAACTATTTGAAGTGATGAATTGTGGGATGTAATAATAATGTGCAGGTGAGGCTTATAACAGGGTCTTCGTTTGTGCATGAAACTTTTGGGTCCTACAAGACCATAGAAGAGCTGTGGGATGGTGAAATCTGAAGACAAATAATTTTTTATTTTTATTTTTTTTAATTCAGATTTGGATTTTCTCTTTAATAAATCCGTTGTAATTGCTAGCCCATAAGATCTTAGGCCATTGTAGCAAATTGCTGATGAGGAGAAGCATTTCTTTTTATTTTTTGGATATGCATATTATTTGCCTATACCTACAAATAGTTGTTTCTTGGTATTCAGTTGATTTGCCTGATTGGAAAGTAAATGGGTTTATTGTGTTATTCTTGGGATATTATAACTAAAACCAAAATTAGATTCTGAAATGTTATTGAATTTTATCAAGCTCTAATCTACATATGTGCATCCATGGTTTCCAACTTTCCACACACACACACACATATATATATATTGCATTAAAGTGATTAAACTAAATCATTGAACTTAAAATTATTACAATAAACAATGAGACATACTATCAATCACAACATACGCTGATTATTTCGTTATAAATTTCTCCCAATCATCCGTGCGCAAGAAACATTTTCAATTCTAACATAACGTTTAAATACTTTGATTGTACTTAGATTTTTATTAGGATGCACATCACAAATAGCCGGTTTAGATGCGGGCCCGGAGCCCGCTATTCCGCTATTCGTACTCAACATAACTGTCATTTGGACTGTATCGGCTCATATGTCCATGAACATGACACAAAATATACAGATTATTGCGGAGCGTAATTAATGGCCATAAGCACTGGAGGAGCGTTTTGTCTCTGTTACATCACTTTTTTCATTGACCATAATAGGTTAAGTTACAAGTTACAACCTTATATAAGGCATAATAAAAGTAACAAAAAGATAAGAAAACAAAAATATTAACTGTCGGTCATAAACTTACCTGTCTACGCAACTGTGATTTCTTTGCATAACTCAATCTCTCATTGCTCCTTATGTTTCCCGTATGTTGGTTTTATAAGTAAGCTAGTTTGGTTATTCTTTGTCAGGCTTCATCATTTATATGCAGGAATTCTAGACCCTGATATTAACGACGAAGCGCGTAAAATGCCATTGAATTTGCAGCTTCAGAAATTTTTTGCTCAAACTTTCAAAGTTTCCTTTCCATTTTCTTGAATTTTTTTTAAATTGGTTTCAGGTTCATAATTTCGAGGAAATATTCTGTCATTTTTCATTTTTCGCCCTTACTCTGTCTCATGAAGTTTCCACTTTCTGCCTGTTTTTCCTTCAAAATTCAAATACTGAAAAGAAAAAGAACAGAAAAAAAGGAGCAAAAATAAATGTAAATTAAAATGTCTGAGCCCGGGTTCGAACCGGGGACCTCTAGTGTGTGAGACTAGCGTGATAACCGACTACACCACCCAGACCACAAATCTTTTATGATATTGGTTGCCATAAAATTTTATCTTTCTGTGAAGTCTACTTTAGAATTGATCGTATTTTGCATCTACTTCTAGTTCTACTCAATCATAAAATAAAATATATATTTACGTAAAATATGAAGTTATCCCCTCAATTTTTTTCAATTTGTCACCTTTCCAAAAAAAATAAAATAAAAAATATAATCCTATTAGTCTATTTATATTAATCTTCATGTTTTTGTTACTCCCCAAATACAGTAGGCCAATACCAACTGATAAAGGACTCAAATAGTTTCTTTTAAACAAAAAGATCAGTAGAGATAGAAAGCTCCGGTATTTGTCGCCCACCAATCAGATGCGTCCACGTCCCAACTCCGTCGCCGTTTTTCGCCGCGCCGCCGCCGTCAGCACGGAGCTTCGCGCACCTCCCTCACCCCACACACACTCTCCCTAATCAAAACCAAAACCCCCCAATTACTCTCTGAAATTGGTTAAAATCACCACCATTAAAACAAAATCAAATCCAAAACCCATCCACTAATATCGAGAGAGGAGCCAAAAATTAACCGACGGCACCGAAAAGTTCGCGTTTTTTTTTTCTTCATCTCGTGAGCTTGGGCAGAGGTCTTTTCTGTAACTGAAGCGTTTTTCGTTTTTGGGCAATGGCTCAATCGATGAGGAGGTATCAAATGGTGGGGGATTATGTGATGGGTAAAGCCGATAGGCGCGGGCTCGTTCTCCACGGTGTGGCATGCGCGCCACCGCGTGAACGGCACCGAGGTCGCGATCAAGGAGATCGTCACCTCGCGGTTGAACCCCAAATTGCAGGAAAGCCTCAAGTCGGAGATTTTCATCCTTAAGAGGATCGATCACCCAAATATTATCCAATTGCACGACATGGTCGAAGTGCGCTGCTGCTTTTCTGGCTCGAAATTCTCTCTCTTGCTTGTTTATTTGTCCTCTTTAAGTATGAATATTCGATACATGGTAGAAAGGGCTGTTCTTTTGTTCTGAAATTTTCGGTTTTGGTTTCTCTTTCTGGTGCTTGTTGTTGGAGATTGACGGTGGAGTTGATGGTATGATGTTTTGCGCTGTTTGCCTCTGTGTTTGTGTTTTTGAGAATAATGCAGAGCTATATGAGTTGTTTTCGATGGAGTTTGGCCGAAGTTGATGTAAGGTTTGGATTTCAATTGCTTCAAATGGGTTCCTTTCACTTTGACATTTACAGTTGGGATGCAATGTAGCTTCTGAGAACTTAAAATCTATTAACAAAAATTTTTATGTTTTCTACAATTGTTAAATTTCTAGAAACAGAGCTCGTGCAATCAACTAAAAGTTCAATCCTCCTGGTAAAATAGCTTGGTGAGCTAATCAAGCTTAAAAGTTAATATCTTTAGTGAAAAGGTGTTTTTTTTTTCTTCCTTTATTTTGTATGTGTAAAATGTCTGTAGTGTATGTTTTTGTCTGTGAGTTATCAGATATGTGTACTGGTTTTCTTTTGTGTGTGTGTGTGTGTGGGAAAACCATGATTAATATAGTAATGATTTTCGGCTTTTCACTGAATTGGTGGATTTGTGGGCAATTACAGCTTCAGAAATTTCTTACTTGACCGAGTATGATAGAAGTGATGTGCTTAGATTTCCACCATGTTTATCAGTATGATGTGTTCAATGCATGTATATAAACAAATAAAAAAAAAAATAGTGATGAAAACCTCATTACATGTCCGTAATTATAGATATATTTCTTTTTGGAGATTAAAAGATTGTAGGACAAGAGTTACACGACTGAAAACAAGTTTTTTTGTGTTATTAGGAATCTGGAAAGATATACATTATATTGGAGTATTGCAAAGGGGGTGAACTTTCCATTTATATTCAACGACACCAAGGGAAAATCCTTGAGGAATCTGCAAAACATTTTATGCAGCAATTAGGTATCCACTCAATCTTCTTTCTATTTGCTATTGTGTTCTGTTCTGTTTCACTTCTGGGATATAAGGGGTTCCTTTAATTCAAATGATGCAGCGGAGGGTCTAAAAGTTCTTCGTGAAAACAATCTTATACATCGGGATTTAAAGCCTCAGGTTTGCCTTGAAAACAAATTTTTCATTTTTTTTATTTGTGTAGTCTGTTTGTTGTGCCATCTGGATAATGAAATTTTTAAACTTAGAAACAGCTCGTGTTAGATGTCTTTGCAAGGAAGAGCACCACTTGATAATTTTTTTAGTGCATTGTTCATGAAAATCAGTTTTCCCTAAAATTTTGTATCAGAAAGTGATAATTATGAACTGAAGTTTCGCATTTGCTCGTCTATTTTCCTTCAACAGAATCTCCTCCTTGCCACAGACGATCACAATAGTGTCTTGAAGATTGCCGATTTCGGTTTTGCCAGGTACATTATAATCCTGAGTTTTTTTGCATAAGGAATGTGTGTGGAATTTAATATTAACATTTTAAGAGAGAAAGCTTTACGGTTTGCATTTCAGTTTTTCACTTATCATCATTCTGCTAGATCTTTACAACCGAGAGGCCTTGCAGAGACCTTATGTGGGTCGCCTCTTTACATGGCTCCAGAAATAATGCAGCTCCAAAAATATGATGCTAAGGTGAGAATTGAGATTATTAACCTTTACGCAATCGAGCAGAACACCCAAATTCAAGTTGTGTATTAAAATTTTTAGCCTATGTAATGCATAGGCAGATCTCTGGAGTGTCGGGGCCATTCTATTCCAACTTGTGATTGGAAAAACTCCATTTACTGGAAATAACCAAATAGAGGTATTTTTATTTGTTCTACTTCTTGCTTCAAAAACTTACTCTTTTATATATTTTATTGATCTTTGTGACGAGTCATGCCTGGGATTGCCGTTTTACAGCTTCTCCAGAACATTATAAAATCGACTGAATTGCAATTCCCACGAAAGGCAGTTGATTTGAACCCTCTATGCAAGGATTTATGTAGGAAATTGTTGCGTCGTAATCCAGGTAAATTTGTCGTAAATTTGTTTTTTAACTCGAAAATGCTACAAATATCAACATCGTGAATTTATCAGTCTAATAACATTATTTCTATTGCTTGTCAAACAGTGGAGAGGTTGACATTTGAAGAATTTTTTAACCATCCGTATCTATCACAAAAAAAACAGCCTGATGAATTCCTCAGGTACATATATCAGATGAACAAATACATGTTAAGACATTATTTTGGTAAAAGTATTAGTTAGCCCCTTCGAGTACATGGGATTTTTTGAGTTACTTACTCGTTTTTTACAGAAATAGCCGGCCACACAGAATTTCAGATGGATTCTCTCGTTCAACGAAGAAAACTGAACAAAATTCACAAGAAGATTGCTTCCCATTCAGTCTTGACGATGATTCAAGTGGCCCAGATAGCAGTCCTTCTTACCAAAAGGGCCCCACCATGAAATCATTCAAAGGTATAAACTTTTGTTTATATTCTTTAATTTCTCATTCAGCATTGTGGATTTTTTATTTTTATTTTGTATTTTTTTTATTTTGTTTTTTTTTTCCCTTCTAATTGGAATATATGTATTGACTTTTTCAGTTACGGACTCGCTAGAGTCAATCGACCAAGATTACGTAATTGTGACCAGTCCATCTAAAACTTGCAGCAAACCTCTCTGGAATAATGTGGGCCCCACAAGTGCTCCAGTGCCGATTTCACAAAGGTCAATAGATGTAATAACAGACGGTTTAGATCAACCGTCTACCGATCACATGACACGGATCGGTTCCTTACGGCAGTATGCAGACATTATTACCGAACTAGTTAACGACAAGGTAAAGTAAAAACTTTCAGTTAAAATTGATTAACGAAGATTTGAGTCTATGAACGCATTATAAAGAGAGAATCGAATTTAATCGTTTGCTTCTAATTTTTTTACATGTTTTCTAGATTGAAGGAAAGAAAGAGCTCGAAGCCTTTTCGATTCAGCTTGTGATTCTAGCTATATGGAAGCAAACTTTGCATATCTGTCATACTCATGCAACTTCAGCTGTGGAAAAAAATAGTCCCAGCCGAGAGACTACCGATATTATTCAAAAAAAGTCCTCCGATTTGAGTAAATCACAAGAGCCACTCAATATCTGTTCACAGATAGAAGGCCGATTTCTTCGTGAAGTCGAGCGTGCTGAGGAACTCGCAAAACTAGTGGAGCCTGGTATGAGATGACATATTTTATTCCCCTTTTTATACCGTATATATTACAGATCGGTTAGCGTATTTTTGTATATTATGCAATTATTTATTTATTTATTTATTCTTTTTTCAAGGAAATGCCGAGATGCCAGATGCAATGGAATTGTTATATCAGTCTGCCCTTGCATTGGGCAGACATGGAGCGGTAAATATTACATTTTCCCGTTTCGATTTTTCTTTTTCTTTTTTTGTTCTAAAGATAATTGTGATGGGTTTTTGCAGGTGGATGAATTAATGGATGATATCGAGAGTGCGATTGTCTTCTACTCGAAAGCAGCGCATTTGTTTATGTTTCTACTGATCGAAGCACCTTGCCTCATTTTCAATCCTCCATTTTCATTGACCAATTCGGACCGTGATCGAATAAAAAATTACATCCATGTCCTCAACAACCGGCAAAGCTTTTCCCGGTCTCAGAGAATGTCTGTTCTGAATATTGGGGAATCCGATGTAACAACACATAAACCGGTTTGAAGCACGACTTTCATTCTGTCATTTTTTTTTTTATTTTTAAATTTCTATAATTTGTTCATAGCTGCATGTATATAGTTAGTTTGAACTGTTTGTTACTTTTATTGGTGGTACAATGCAAATTAGTCAAACACAGGTCACCAAAAACTCTGCAGATGCTCTTCTGCAGATTTTTCCTTGGTTGTTCCAACTTCCAACACCAACTTTTTCGTTTTTTCTCTTATAACCATATCCCTATCTTCCAACAAAACAAAAAACGGGTATTGGTTTTTTTTCTTCAAAATCGAACCCGAAAATAATGGCGAGATGTTTCGAACCGCCAAGCGCAAGCCCAGAAGATGACTCGATTGTTCTCTTCTCAACACTCGACTCCCCAATACAACACCGCGAGAAAAACCGAAAGCCTTATTACAACCTAATCGTAACAAACTTATCCTACACCATCCGAAAATCCGAACAACCCTTTTCGAACCTCATTTTCCGAGTGGTAAAAAAGGAGGAAAAACCTATCGAAATTCTCAAATCAGTCTCTTTCACTGCACGAGCCTCCGAGATTCTGGCGGTCGTGGGCCCGAGTGGCACCGGTAAGTCTTCCCTCTTAAAAATTGTTTCCGGAAGGATCCAAGACAAATACTTCGACCCGAAGTGTATCAAACTCAACGAAAACCCATTAACGAGCCAAGCCGAGATGAGGAAATTATGCGGGTTCGTAGCTCAAGATGATACCCTATTCCCTCGACTCACGGTCAAAGAGACGCTAATGTTTAGCGCCAAGTTTAGATTGAAAGAGATAACCTCTCGAGAAAGAGAAACTCGGGTCGATAGCCTAATGCAAGAGCTCGGCCTCGAGCATGTAGCGGAGAGTTATGTCGGAGATGAAGAAAATCGAGGAATTTCGGGCGGAGAGAGAAAACGAGTGTCGATTGGGGTCGATGTGATAAACGACCCTCCGATTCTTCTCCTCGACGAGCCGACTTCTGGGCTCGACTCTCGTTCGGCTTTTCGAGTCGTCGAGCTTCTCTCCTCCATGGCAAGGGCTAAGCAGAGAACTATCGTTTTCTCCATTCACCAACCAAGTTACCGAATTCTTCACCACATATCGAACTTCTTGATCCTCTCTCACGGCTCGGTAGCTCACCATGGCTCACTCGAGTCGCTCGAGCGAGCCATCACGGGACTCGGGCTTAAAATCCCGTCTCGATTAAACCCGTTGGAATTCTCGATGGAAATCATATCCACTCTCAACGAGTCGTATTCGAAAAACAACCACCTCCCGGAAGAAAACTCGTATCTTTCGTATTTAGCAATTCAAGTCGGACCCGACCAATTTCTTCCGAGAGCTTATGAAATATCGGTGCTCTGCGTACGGTTTTGGAAGATCATTTACCGAACGAAGCAACTTCTACTCGCCCGAACAATGCAAGCCATAGTCGGGGGTTTTGGTTTAGCGAGCGTATATGTGAAAGTGAGAAAAGACGAAGGTGGGGTTGCGGAAAGACTCGGCCTTTTCGCCTTCACTCTGAGCTTCCTTCTTTCCTCAACGGTCGAGGCCTTGCCGATTTACCTCCAAGAACGACACGTCTTGATGAAAGAAGCTTCTAGAAGTTCTTACAGAGTTTCATCGTACGTGATCGCCAACACTTTAATATTCTTCCCGTTTTTGTTCGTGATCGCGATTCTTTTCTCCGTCCCATTATATTGGATCGTGGGATTAAACCCTTCTCTCTCTGCTTTCGCTTTTTTCACGCTCGTCATTTGGCTTATAGTGTTGATGGCGAGCTCGTTGGTGCTTTTTCTAAGCGTTATATCGCCCGATTTCATAACCGGGAATTCTTTAATCTGCACGGTTCTTGGCTCGTTTTTTCTCTTCTCGGGTTATTTCATACCGCGCGAGGCGATTCCAAAGTACTGGCTCTTCATGTACTATGTTTCGATTTATCGGTACCCTTTGGATTGTCTGGTTATTAACGAATATTGGAGCGAAAGGGAAGAGTGTTTTTCGAGAAGAGACGATATTCGGACGGAATGTGTGCTGACGGGGCGGGACGTGTTGAGGAACAGAGGATTCGAACACGACACGAGATGGTTTAATGTCGGGATTATGTTGGTGTTTTTCGTGTTTTATCGGCTGCTTGCTTGGATTGTTCTCGTGAGAAAAGTTTCGAAAACTACGTTGTGATGAGTTGTGAGGATTCTCTCGCTTTGATCAATGTAAAACTACTTTTAGTACTTAAAAAGCAGTGATCTTGCTTGCTAAAATCATGTGATAATTTTGCATTCTACTTGAAAGAAATACGAATCATTATTAGACATATCAATGATCAAACACATGTGATTGCAAAATAAAATGTCACTTTGGTGTTAGCTGGAAAAATGAAATTATTGAAATGAAATGTCACATTTGAATTTTGATTGCAAAAAATATCGTCCCATGGACAAATTATTTGGGGCCCTTTTTGTCCATTTGAAAAATTGATGTGTGGAGGTGGCATGACCATTTTCTGTAGATAAAAATATTGTATTACTTTTTAATTATTTATTTATAGATTAAAAATTTAAAATCCATGGTAGTCACATGTTAATTAGTGGTAACATAACAATTACATTTTTGTTTGCATAATACGACTTACAGTTAAAGTCATCACACAAGAATTTGTAGTAATGTTTTAAAGTGTCTTGTAAATTTTAATTGGGTCCCTTCACAAATTCAAAATCTCACCATGACAATTACACCTTAATTTCCACAAATTTGATAGTTTTGGTTAAAATTTAAAACTTAAGAGACCCTTTAAGTTTTAGCTTAATTGTATTATGGTGATTGCACATTTCGTTTAATTTATGGTTTTCACCATAATTGATTTCGTACAAATATTATTTAAAAGTAATTAAAAAGACAATTTGGTTTTATATTCTAGAAGTTGATTTTCAGCTAATATCTTTTTACAATGAAATATTGGACAAGTTTGTTTATTAGTGGATTGATACTAAATTATCAGATTGAATTTCAAGGTTTCGCCAATCAAATTCGTTAGTTAATTTGTTTGCTAATGAATTTATTTGATTAGATTTTTAGATAAGAAATGGCTAATTCTAAAAATCTCAAAAGAACATTATTTTTGAAAGAGATAATTTTACAAAAGCAATACGCTATTCGCTTACCATGTGCTTATTTGACAAATGCTAATTAAATACTAATACAATCAACTATTCACAAATACAGTCATCTATCGTTATTTCAAACAATGGTCTTATTTATAAAAAATATATTGAACTCGTTTTGAAGAGTGTATTTTTGTTCACTAAATTTCATAAAAAAAATGATCATTGGATAAAAATAAAAAATGAAAAATAACCATTTT